GCGCCAACTCTCCAGAGCCGCGCCGCGCCCGGACCCCTCCCCCTGACGGGGCGGGCCGCATCGCCGACGCCGTTCCGTGTGCACCGCCCCCCGCTCCCCCCCCCGGTGCCAGGCGCAGAGGGCAGGGGCTCTCGTCAGCACGCGGCCCGCCCTGGGACGTATGGCTGGGAGCGCCGGGGGAGGGCGGGGGAATAACTGACCCTTGGAATATATATATATCCTTGTTATTAGCATAAAAGGCGGATGGGAAGACCCTTCCTATACCTTGATGTATGCCCGCCGCCTGGGGCGCGGCCGCGCGGCGGAGGGCACTCGCGCACGCGCGTGCGCGCGGGTACGCCCGGGCCGGCCTTGCGGCTGGCCCCTGCCGCAATTACCCGGCCGACGGCTGGGCGCACTCCAGCTGTTGCCCACACGTACGCGCACACGTACGCGCACGCGCACGCGCACACGCCCCCCCCCCCCCCGGGCGCACCTCTCCCCGATTGCCAGCCGGCAGGGAGGAGCCGCGGGGCGCGGGGAGGAATGCCGGGGGCCCGGCCCACGGCTGGTCGGGTGTTTGACGCATGTGCCGGCCGGGCCGGGGCCGGGGGCACTCGCGGCCCCGAGCACCAGCCAATGTCTGGGCGCCCGGGCCTGCTGCCGCACGATCGGCCCGGCCGGCGTGTTTCTAACCCGCGGCCGAGCGATGTGCCTGCCAAGCTCGGCGCCTCGGCCGGCACTGCGCGGCCGTGTGCGCGCATAATTGTTTTCTCTGGCCCGCGCCCCGGCCGCCAATCAGCCGGCGTAGGGCCGGCCGTGTAAGCGGCTGGGCAGCCCCCCCCCCCCCGCCCGCCTCGATTGGTCGTGCAGATCACCAGCGCCATCTGCCGGCCTCCAGCCCCGGGCGTAGTGAGGGCCGGGGGGAAGCCGCGTTTCGCCACGAGGGTGCGAGGCTTGCGGCCTCCGGGCCCAAGTCCGGGGGGGGGGGGGGGGAAGGGAAGACCGGTCACAGTGGCGCGCCGGCCGGAGGGACGCCCCGGCGGCGGGGGGCGCCCGGCGACGATCGCACCGCACCGCGCCCCGCCAGCCGGGTCCCTCTGTCCGGTGGTCCCGCGGGAGGAGAGTCACACCGCCAGGGCGCCGAACGCGCACCGGTCTACGCGTCCGGGGCATGCACGGTCGCGCCGGACCGAAGGACGGATGAAACAGGCTGGAGGCCCGGCCGGCCGCGCCGCGCCGCTCCCCCTCCCCTCTCCCCGGAGGGACGCCGGCTAGCCCGGGGGCCATTCACGTGTGGCGTCCGCGCCCCCGCCCCCCCCCCCCAGACATCCGGCGCTGCCCTCGCGTCGGCGCCCCCCCGGCGTGCTGTTCGCCGCCCGGCTCCGGGTCTTTTCCGCAGCCCCCGCCCCCGCCGCAGGTACCCCCCCCTGTCCGTGGGGCGCACAGGCGAGCGGGCGCGCATGCTCCCCCCCCCCCGAGGCCGGGAGACAGACAGGCAGGCAGGCGCCGCGACGCTCCTGCACCCGGTACCACTGACCAATGTTTACATTTGCTCGTATGCCGCTTGCTCGCATGCATGAATGCCCGGACGCAGGTCCGCGCTTGCTCGCCCGCCCGCCCTCCCGGCAGCACGAGGGCAAGGCCCGGACTCTGAAGGGCGGGATACCTCCGACACCCGGCTGCCACAGATCCAGCCACCCCGCGCCTTCTCCCTCGCCCCACCTGCCCCTGCCCGCTTTACCACCTCCCCACCTCCCCTC